ACAGGCTGGCCGACCGGTATGGCATCGCGGCGTTCCCGTTCGAGTTTCCACTCTGGAAGCACCTGTGCAGTCGACACGGCCTTTATTAATAATGCCTCGTATCGGACATCGCCGGCTGGAAATTGTTTCAGTTGTTGTCGGTCGAGTTGCGTAACAGCCGGTGCGTTCCAGCTGGAGAACGGTGTCCTCGATCGGCCGGACTGTAAGCTTCGCTATCGACCCTCACGGTTTTCTACGTGGCCAGCTTCGGCTACGGGTCTGGAATTCGAAAACGGTGTGCCCTTGTCTCTCGCCTCTCGCCTCTCGCCTCTCGCCTCGTTTCGCGCGAATCTTCCCGTGTCCGACGAACTCGCAACTCTCGAACCTCCCTTCCTCTTATCTGCTTTCGACTTTCGATGGACAAGCAAACGGTGACCCAACTGATAGAAAGGACAGAGAGATCGATCTCCAAACGGTCGGAGTTTCCTTTTCAAAGACGTTGCGATATCGCGCTCGCGTACACTCGAGACGCGTCCGTGGACTCTCGTCCGAGCGTTTTCTAGCGAGAGATCAGCCTCTCGAAACGTTCCGTTTGCTTCGCCGAGGAACTCATAGAATCGCGAACGATCGCTCGCCGCGTCGCCGATAACGATAACAAAGCCGCTACTCGGATCTTCGATAAGCGCTCGCGTTTCCATCCGTATCTCCGAAACCCCGATCGAAGGTAATACGATACATTGTTCCCTACCTGTCGGTGCCCATTCGTTATCGACCCGTTGACGTTCGCGCGGTCGACGCACGCGAATGCGAGGAATTTGAATAACGAACGAAAATAACACGGAACGCGGAATTCGGGATTCCAGCGAATACGCTCGATGCGAAGGGGTCCCTCGTTCGAAAGGATGGGATTCGAAACGGACGGTAGCGCTTGCAACCGGGATGAACGCGTAGCCCGGTGCGTCATCAATTTCTAGCTCAAGGCAAAGCACGCGTTTACTTTTCAAGGTGCGTTCAAAATCTCTGGCCGACTCTGCCAGTACCGAACCGGTGCCGAACCGACCGACCAAACGGAAAATATTCCAGGCGATATTCCGTTGCCCGATGCAACGAACATGGTAACATGGAGATTTCTGGCAACTGACGTGACGCGGACAACGGGCTCGCCCAGGAACGCTATCTCTATCTGTATCTCCATCTGTCCGTGGCGCGAACGGAATACAAGACGTTTCTGTAGCGAGGCTAGAATCAAGAAACTGGAACCGCGGTCTAATGAATTTCTCGAGGGTCGTAGGTTACAAGACGCTTGGCGCGTGCGACGAGTGTCCGCATCTGGCTGATCGCATACGGCTTTCTCCACTGCTACCCACCTCTGAACTTCTCGATTCGAGTTTCGACTCGTTGTTCGCCGATTTCGGTTGATCTCCGGTGACCGAGTGCCGAGCAGACGAATCGACTGGTTCGTATTCTCTGACGCAAATCATTTCGATTTCATTTGCAATTCGGTTTACGCAGCACATCGATTTAGTCGATGATTCCTCGGAGGAAGGACGCCTGTCCGTTTGCAAGAAAGGATTCCTCTTTCCTTGTTCCAGAGGCTCGCGTTTCGAACCGAAATATTCCGAAATCCTCTAGTTTCGGCATTACCGATACCAAGCCGAAGGAAATCGATACGTTATCGCGTGCAATCGCGCGGTCGCAATGTTTGCGCGGCTCTCCAAGGCTCGCCGGCGTCGAGAGTGAGTCACGTTCTCGCGAGCGAGCCAGCGAACAAAAACAGAATGGATGACGAGAGGAGAATCGGTATGGCACGGAAGGAGGCGGCCGAAAACTCGCGGCCCGAAAGAAAGACGGTTCGCCTGGGATCGCGTCGGAAATTCAGGCGACCGTGAACGGAAAGAGGCGGCGGCGTGTGGCGTGATCGATCCTTGTGGAATCGTTACACGGTCGCGGACCATCGGAATAGGAATGAAATCTCGCCTTGCGGACGACTCTCTCGGATCTGTTTCAAGGATGCCTCTGTCGCCGATGCTTTTTCTCCGTATTCATTAGCGGAGCTGTCTCGGGACCGTTCGAGGTAACCGCGGCCGAGTTTCGCCACTAGATTTCTCCCACCGCGGAGTCCTGCTCGCGGATCGCGGAAGGAGAATTCTCTTTCGACGCCTATTGGATTCTGCAAACTTCGGATGAAAGTTTCCGTCGACTTCGATCGATGGAATATCGTATGCTGTCGACCTAATAGATCGACAGCGACAATGCGGAGCGACGTGGACGCGAGAAACGGAAGCGGACGAATGTCTGCGAACGAGTAAGGAGATTAGCGGCAGATTTAGTACTGGGCGGTTCGATTTTCCGCCGGTTCGTTCGCGGAAGATGACTCACTCGGAACGGAAAATACTTAACCGTTGCAAATGAAAACCGCTCCTGAATATTTATCGGGTCTGCTTGGTGGCGCGGTGAGAACTTCCTCGTTCTCCGTTTAAACGGAACATTCGGCTCTGGCGCGGCGACTCCGCGCGCCGGCGTGACCTTCGCCGTTCCTTCGGAGAACGGAGAACGGCGAACGGCGAACGGCGAACGGCGAACGCGAGCAGAAAGGAAGAGCAATTTCTCAATTTCCCTGTTACATCGGTGTTACGGTAATCGCGGCCGTCCAAACTTTTCGCCGGCGACGAACGATATTGTTTCTCGAGTACCCAAGGACCGGAGCGTCCCTTTTCCTTTTTCTCCTACTCGTTCCTCCGCTCCTCTCGTCTCGCTCGAGCGTGACCCATATTCGAGATCGTGATTCAGTCGGATCCTTCGGAATATTCCGGGACCAGCTCGTCAAATTTTCTAGAGCCCGATTCGATCTCGCCGGATCTCTCGGAATCCCCTTTGAACGGAAACTCGGAGCATCGAATCGGGTTCGACAACCTCGCCGCTGGAAAGCGGCGCAGCGCTAATAGCGATCTGTCCCCGGAATTTGGGTTAATCGCGGTTCTATAAATCAGCCATTCGTGACCGGGGAATCGGCCGATCAACAGGTTAGGAACCAGTTTTTCGATGGGGAAACGGCACGCGGCGATCTCCGCGTGATCTATTAGCTTGTTCGAAAGGATCCTTTCATTTTATTAGATATCTCGCCTTTTATCTTGTCACCGATGACCGACGCCTTGTGAATTACTTGGAAAAATCGTGACGCGCAGCAACGATATAGGACGCGCGAATTTGGAGCGCGGCGTGGAAAAGCAACGCGACCGCGCGTTCCGTTGCGATTCGTGTCCTTTCACCGAACCTTTCGACACGCATGATCGATACACTGTTCTCGATCAGCCGTTTTCCCGTTCTCCCATTCCCTCGGTCGCGTTCGCGTTCGCGTTCGCGTTCGCGTTCCCGTGGTTCTGTTGTTCCTTCGACTCCATTCAACTCGATTAGGTTCGGCCTGGTTCCGTTTAGTGGAGCAGTTGGCGAACTCTGATCCTCGTTGCACGCGTCGCTAATGATATTCCGATATCCACCGCACAAATTACTCTCTGTCCTCTTCTTTTCCGTTCCTGGTTTCGCTCGCACCGGATACTCGTCTCGCGGAAGGAAACCTAATAAATGTCAACGTTAACGAAGGCGCGAGCTAGATTTCAAAGATTCACGCGTAATCGTCGATACTGTTGGCAATGAAAAAGTAAGTAGTCGCCAGATGTGCAATTACGATCGATAAATTACGAATGCCATTAAGTGGATCGAATACATCGGAATGCGACAAATACGGTCGATTGTAAATTCTGAATTCCATTCCATAAATTTCCGTGGCCGCGATATTCTCATTATTTATAGCGACGATTATGAAAGCTCGTTGAGTCGGCGGCTACGGTCGATCAGCGCCGTCGAGTTCCACTCCGTCTATGGAGATGCCGATTAAACTGCCAAATTAGAATCATTCGCGCGTCGACATCCTTTCTCGTCGATTATTCGTGGATCCCGTGAATGTGACGTGGGAAATGATAGAGGAAGCAAACGAATTACTACTCCGTTGAACGATAGTCGCGACTGTCGCGTTCGACGATCCGTTCGCCGCAGCTTTCACTTTCGTTGGAACCGGGCACGCGTTCCCGACGCATCCGATCTCCGCGGGACGCGGACCCTCGAATCGCTAGAACTTTGAAGATTCACTGGGGAGTCTTTCGATCGAAGCGTCTATTCTCCTCTCTCGCGGAAGGCCCGCGCTTCATCCGCGTTAAGTCGACTGGTAAACAGTGGTAAACACCGCTTCCCGTTGGTTAATTAACACGCGCGAATCTCGTACGCTTAGACGAATCCCCGAGCCGACCTTGAACGATCGATTTGCATACTTGGAAGGAACCCTGCGAAAGAACCCGGACCTCGGAAATCGAGAATAATCTCGAAGCGTCAACGATGAATTCGATTCGGGCTTCGAATTGGCAGAAGAGCTTCGTATCGGCCGATCGGCGTCCACGGGAATCCGACAATGAAACAGAACTGGAGGAAGTGTGCCGTGGTCTCTCCTCTCACGCGTGACCTGGAAACCTCCTTGGCTCACGGAGGTATCTCGTGGCCAGACGAGAGGAAAAAAGTCGAAAGTGGGCTTGTTACGCAATGATTTTGAGTAACGTCATCGCGCGAGACAACATACGCGAGGCAACGTACCGCTCCAGGCTACTTGCATTGCTCCGTGTTCTCCGCGGGCACTCGCGTTGCGCTCGACTCTCTACCTTCTTCTGCCATCTTCCCTCGAGCAGTTCGGTTCTACCCGAGACAATCGCGGCGATCCGCGTCTCTCGATATCTTGCTCGAAAACCGGTATTCCTTTAACGTGCTTTCAATGGGCGGCGTGCCCCTTTAAAAAGGATGTTTCGGTCTCGGGTAAATTTCCTTGAAAAGGAACAAGGCGGAGCGCAACGTCCCGCTCGAGCGACCGATCGGTTCTCTCCGCATCCGCGGGACAAGCGGGACAAGCGGGACAAGCGAGACCGAGACCGAGACCGAGACCGAGACCGATGAATTATCGTTGAATTTTCTGTTCGCAGAGGTTGAATGCGAGGTGTCGAGTCAAGTGGAGTATTCTCTGCAGGCGATCTGGGGCGTGAGCATAAGAGAGCTTCACCTGGCGCTCTGGAAGCCCTGGAGCACCCTCAGAGACGCGTCCTTGAACGGCACTCTTCTCCAAGGCCACGCGCAGTACCTCACGCCGCCTGAAACGTATCCTTTTCTCGCGCGTCGCTGGATTAACAGCCGAAACTATTGAAAAGACGCGCCTAACGCGTTCTAGCATTTCCAGCCGGAGAGCAGAAGACTGATTGTTCCTTGACTGAGAGATATACAGTAGACAACCGCACGGCGAGGAGACGCTGAGACTGTCGCTTCCGGCGCCGGAATTGGAACTCGGCACGCCTCCCCGTCTCTGCTATCCTCTGGTGATCTTCCTGACCCGTCGGGACAACGGAGATCCTCATCCCGACGAAACGGTGGGTATCGTTCGGCGCTGTCGTGCCGTTTCACCAGGTTCCCGTCACTCGTATTCTTCGGCCGTGGATCATTGGCCAGCGAGCACTGATTTTTAATTAGCCGACTGACCGAGCGGAACATGGGAGCGGGGATGCCCTAGATGGCGGTCATTGGTAGCCGCCACTGTCGCCTCTGCTAACATTCTAGCATTCCCGTCGTTGGTCTTGTCGGTTCGAAATGTCGCCGATCCTCGAATCGAGTCGATTCGCGATCGGTTCGCGATCTCGCGGGACGAAAATATTCCGCGAGTCACTCGAATATTCGATACAGCCGCGCGCATTCGCACGGAACGCTGCTAAACATGTTTCAACTGTTTCGAAAAGGTTGCACTGGTGAACGTGGTCCACATCAAGGATAGCGTCTGCACCCTACCAACTTCGATTCTGGCGCAATACCTGAAGCAAGCGAACGGCCAGCTGTCCTGCCTGAAGGTGAAACAGACTTCCTTTCGATCTGCTCTCCGGTCGAAAGAGGAGAAGACGATTAACGGAACGATTCGATTTCCAGCAATTGTACCTGGCGACGGGCAACTCGACGAACTACGACGAGGGAGACGTGTCCTCTGGCTTGGGCTCGGCTTTGGCTCTCGCCGAGCCGTGCAACAACAACGGCGGCGCGACGAGGGGCGCGCTGGTCGCTTCCGGTACCGGCGATCCGGAGGGATCGCTCTGGAACACCGCGGGGGAACAGCTTTGCGTCGTCTGCCAGTACTTCCCTCTCTCTCGAGCCTTGCTCCCTTGCAGGCACACCTGCATCTGCGCCTCCTGCTTCGGGAAGCTGGACCGATGCCCCATGTGCAGAAGCCCCATAAAGAGCTACTTCTGCATCCGGGGCGAAGAGTACATGCCCCTCGAGACGGAGATCAACCCGTGCAAGCAGCGGCAGTCGAATCACGGGCCGACCCACTGGCTGCACGACTGGAACGACAGACTCACCGATTTCCTCGGGTTCGCCCGATAAAGGATCGCCGTCCGAATCCTTTCGAATCGAATCGGGAAACTCCTCGTTCGTTTCAACCGATAAACGGTCGCGAGAGACCGACGTGTCCCCTCGATCGAACGAACGAACAAGGTTCGTCGGGCAACCGTGTCTTCTTTGGACGTAGCGTTTTCAAGAAAGAGGTAGCACAGTCGCCTCTACGACGAAGACCCGCTGTCCGTTAGTAGCCGTTCCGTGAGTAACAGAGATCGGTTCGATCGAGAACGTTCGATAGGGAGAACCGCCTGTCGGCGCTGAAATTTCGAATGTTCGCGACACGGTTCTCGACCAGTGGCGACGTTATAGTATATTATAGTATAGTATAATATGGTATAGTATAGTATAGTATATCATAGTATAGTATAGTATAGTATAGTATAATATAGTATAGTATAGTGTAGGACAGATTTTGTTCGAGGTTCTTCGTTACTCACGGTCGCAAACCACTGCGTTCACGTCGGTACGCGCGTTCGTTTTCTCTTATCGCGATCGTTCGCTCGACTTTGCCTCGAACAGCGATCTCGAAGACCAAGTAGAACGAGCCGCGGATCAGAGTTGATTAAATGTAAAAGAGAATCGACGTCGACACGTCGGGCAAGAACGATTAATGGTTCGGCGACGAACGGACAAATTTCTAAATCACCTATATGGAATAACGTTTGAAATTTTTACCACGTAACGTTGTATAAATACTTAAGGTGTACATACAAGATAGAAAATAGGACGTGTCCGATTCTACGATTGTAACTAACGATTAAGTTATTGATATTATTTCATACGATACGCAAATTTATTCGATAGATCTAGAGACATTAGTTCTGATACGATGCATGCCTTTAAAGTATTTCCCACCCTCTTCCGCTCTCCATACCCTCGACGTTTTCTATCTGTACGGATTACGAGTCCAAAGGAGAATCCTTTATGTTTTCTTTGTAATTGCTCTGCCGTCCATGAGCAGCGATGGAAACACTTTTGCGCGAGGTTTCTCGCAAGGGAAACCGTTTCAACGGAAACAACAACAACAACAACAACAACATGAAGAAGAAAAGGAACGAAACGTTCGGTGGAAATTAATTTAAGAGAAGGATGTTGCGTTAACGTTATAAACTGTAAATACACAGACTGTGATAATTGTAATAACATCTATTATGTACCAGACACCGCGATAATGTCCCTACATGCCGGGACATCGGAACGGGAAAAATTGGAGCAACGGGGGACACGACCGTTCCCGGATTTCACTGTTTAACGCGGTACATGTTATCAGCCTTTTTTTTTAATATCTCCTAGGGATACACGTTTAAAGAGAAAACAGAATAATATTCTCTTGCTTCAGGCGTTTGTAACGAGAACAGAATTTTAAACGTGTCAGGGTAATCGTGTTCCGCGCACGGACACTCTTCGGACAGAGTTCAATTTTTAACCGTTCACCTTTCAGATAACAGATTTCACATCTCGAACATTCAAATTTAGTACTTGAGAAGAGTTTCAGCGAAAACTAGAGTTTAAGCGATTTTAAACCTTTCCAATTTTCCTCGATCAATTCGAAAGACTAACGATTCGTATTCCGAAGACTTCTCTTCTTTCTTTGTGATAAATAGACTGCGAATTTCTATGCAAACATACATTTTCATTAATATTTTTGCACAAAGTCCGCAGTCTAGTGATAATAAACCGAACGAACGAGTGGTTCGGTGATTTTTATCGTTCATGGTATGGCGGTAATGATCATTGGAACCCCGTGTGTAACACAGTTGCAAGTTACAAGGCCCAACGCGTGTACAAGTAGGGGAATACAATGAAACTATACGGCTAATTCAAGAGTAAAGGCCTCTGAAGTCAATGTTATTGTAGTCGACGATCTTAACATCCTAATTTATATTTGATTCAATAGTATGGAGTTTCGATGGTGAAACAACGTCTGTATGCGAGAAACTGTATATAATTTATTTAATAAAGCGTATTCGTGCTGTTATGTTCTGCCATTTTTTTTAAACGGCACGTGTTCTTCTCGTCTAACTTCATTACGCGATCATTATCGATCTCCGAAAAAAATTATCCAAACGCAGAATACAAAATCTTTGTTACAGTAACCACAATTACTTCCGTTGAATGATCCTCGAATAAATTTGTACGCTGTGCGAGCGAAGTACAAAGGACGACAGGTTTGCTCTTATTGGAATTCCATGTTAAATACAGCAATTCTGTTAGCCGGATTTAAAAGGATGTTTTTTTGATTATCCTTTTATAACTGAAATATCTCAAGACCCTCGATATATAGAGCAGGTTCTTTGTGCCCGGACATCTATAGATCGGTGATTCTCGTGCGACCTCGACTTTCTTCGGCTACGCTCGGTTTCCAGCGATATACGGTATATTTCGCTATAATCGGATGACCGTTGATCACGTTGACATTAGGCTCTATACTTTATAAATTCGAATTTTTTCAAACATCGGCCGAAATTCCCTCGTAGAGAAACGTATCGAGTAATGCTCGTCCGGTCTTCTCACGAGTCATGTCGTTAAAAATACCAACGACGCACGGTCATCTTAAAATGACTCGATAAACGGAAATAAGGACGCAGAGATCTACGTGCCCTGTGAAAATTCGTACAAAACTGTATTGTGAACCGGTGTGTATTGTCTCCTTGCCTCTGTTCCACCGCGGAAACTCGGTTGTTTTCGTTCCCGTCGGACCTTCACCTTTGCTATGGTTTACCGCAAATAGACGGATACACGAGCCAGTTTTGGATGTCCTTTTCAGACACATGTACACTCATCGATCAAAAGGGAATGTTTGTTTTGCTTTTCACTGCCTTCGAGTCTCAAGCCACCACGAAGGTTAGACCAAACGACAGTACGATCACTTGATGACCTGGTGAGTGTGCGATCCTTATTTTCGTATCGGCTTTCGCGTCTGACTCATTCGGCTGATAAGACCCGGTGTAAATTCAATCTTTATAAATATTCTTCTTAAATACTCTCGGAATGTTTAACGCATTATTTTTAAACCTCGCGCACTGTTCTCACATTACTCTTGCATCAGTGTTTCGTGTATTGGATGAACACAACATTGAAATCAAATTATACACGTAAACTGTTTGCGTAAAATTAATTTTCAATCGAGCAAGTTATCATTCTGATGCATCAAGCTTGAAAGAATCAGACAAAGATATTACAGTTTTAGTGCAATCGCTCTGTTTCTGTCAATCATTTCTAGTAGCATTATTAATTATATGTGATAGACTGTAGAACCTATGAATTTTTCAAGTTGCATCGTGATCAAATTGTGGGGACAATTTTTATATTAATATACAAAGACCTCCATTGATTACGAAAGAACTATTACTATTACTATTACTAACGAATCAATGTTACGTATGTTTCAGATTTAAAGGGTGAGTAACTAGAAGAGATAAATAACAATGGCTGGCAGTGGAGAGCTTTGGGTGCAATGTTTCACCTGTTGTCTGACGCAACAAGGTCCAAGGGCACGTAATGGAAGGCAGAGGTCACACCAGAGGTTAAGGATAGATCGTAGTATGATAGGAGTGCCTACAAATTTCAGACACACTGGTCACATAAGCAGTGGAGATTTAGACATGACCAGTGCACAGTTGTCTAACATTCAGGCACAGATGCAAATGAAGGGAGGCTATGATAACGCGTATGGAGTTAGGGTAATATAAGTTTTGTTGTTCTTTTGCAGACAGTATTCTATTAGAGAAAGGGAACACTCGCATAAATTTGAATATTTACATTTCAGGCACGTTGAAAGTAATTATATGGTGCATTTAGACTGACCTGGAGATAATCTTACGACAGGACTATAAAATTGACTGAGTTTTTAATGTCCATTGTTCCTTGTGTTAAAACAAAAACATACATGCAATTTGTTGCATGTAAGAATGTGCTCGAAAAGTAGACTCATTTTAAAATGACATCAAGTATATTATACTAAAGAACAAATTAAATAGGATTCGTATTAGGACTTGCTGAAAGTATGCGTTTACTTGCAAGTTGTATTCCGTACAAATTACCCTCCACAGCAAAGACTGGATGTAACTGCCACATTATACACAAAAGTTTTGAGGTGCATTTTCTTTTTTACCAACTGGAAATTATTCTTCCATTTAAAATAGTCGATGTTCATTGATATACACAATATACTATCATACTAGATGTTACGTC